TGTAAACTTCTGACCCACTGGAATTGTGATACAGTGAATTATAAGTCTGTAAACAATTGTTGGAAAAATTACTTGTGTCATGCACAAAGTAGATCTCCTAATTGACTTGCCAAAACTATAGTTTTTTAACAATACATTTGCGGAGTGGTTGAAAAACAAGTTTTAATGACTCCAACCTAAGTGTATGTAAACTTCCGACTTCAACTGTACATAACATAGCCTACTGCTCTGGCCCCACTGGCCCAATCCACTGTGTCCTCATTGGCTGATGGTTCCTGACGCGTAAGCACCTTCACGACTGAATGGACATCACAGCCAGACCTCTGATTAACAGAGTGGAACAATGCCATTAGACACTCTCCTTCTCTCATCAGCCAGATTGCTCAAGATTGACTTTGAAATTGGATGTCGGGAAATGCCTTCAAAACTGGCCACTAGGGGCAACACTAATAACACTATTACCAGAGGGCGTTGTGGATGGGGGTGACGGATGGACGTAATCCAATGACTCCGGATCCGAAGGTCGTGTGTAATCCCATGACTCCGGATCCGAAGGTCGGCTGTTCAATCCCAGTGGTAGACACTTTTTTTGATGCCCTATCCCAAACCTTAACCCTTTACTTAACCATTCAGATTGAGAGCAGGGGGAGCAACACCTCGAAATTTGACGTTTGTCGGAAACGTGGATAAATGTCAGAATCTGAAGTCAAATTGGTAAAAATGGGAGATCTCATTGCTTTCACACCACAAGACATGCACACACACACACGCGCATGCCAACACGCACGGACAAACTATTTTGAATATTTAACACAGCTGAGCGACACGCATGACAAGATGAAAGACAGGAGGGAGGAAGGGATAGGAGAGGAAGAGAATGAAACGAGAGAGGAGAGAGAGGGGAGAGAGGAGAGAGAGGATAGAGAGGGGAGAGGAGAGAAAGGGGAGAGAGAGATAAGAGGGGAGAGGAGAGATAGGAGAGAGAGGGCAGAGGAGAGATAGGAGAGAGAGAGAGAGGAGAGGAGAGATAGGAGAGAGGGGAGAGAGAGGAGAGATGAGAGAGAGAAGAGCGAGAGAGGGGAGAGCGAGATGTCTCATTCTGTCTCAGCTGTGTATGCTAAACTCATCACCCAGGGGTGTAGGCCCAAACCTCATTATGCATGCTGCAACTCTCCACTAAAACCACAAACACCTCAGAAAATATAGCCCAGTCAGCCCACCAGGTCACGCAGTCCGTTTATGTGTGTGTGTGTGTGTGTGTGTGTGTGTCAGAGTTTCTGTTAGCCGGTAGGCTTAATAGCCGGCTTTTGGCCGATAAAAAAATGGAAAGCCGATAAATAAAATAGGCACCGGTCAATTGTCCGGGAGAAGGAGAAAAAATCCCAATTGCGAAATAATGCTTTTTAGCCTATTCATTGATGGAAATACCAGCTGATGTAAATACATTTGACTGGTCCTGTTTATCGTCTTATAGGTTAATTGACATAATTTAGTGGAATTAAACTGGAGCGTGCGTACAGTATATTCATTATGTATCTAATTTATCACACGCGTACAGCATACAGATACAGAGACTTTGAGCTGAAAATCTGTCAGACATCGTGAAAGCTGCTGCTACTGCATCTCAAACAGCAGATACATAGGCAACGGAAGGCAGGCTTCATCAATACGTCACACAACACTTTACAATGAGCTGGAGGCAGTTTGAAAACATATACTTAATATTTTGAAACCTGAACGTTTTACTACATATTATGAGGCATGTCTTACCTTGCTTCAAAGTAGCCTAGCCAAAATCAGACCATATCCGTGGAGGCAATTATTTTATATCAACTTTCTTTCATTGTTCAGTGACTAAAAGGCACAATACTAGTCATATTAGCAATCAATGCTAGTTGTTGCATATTAGATCTCCCCTCTTCCTACATTTCTAATGGATATTTTAATGTCTGTCACATGAAACCGCTGGCATGCAGTGGGCTTTTGACAACATTGTTTTCTCGCTAATTGCATTATGGAACAAACATTGGCGATTAGCCAATGATACTGCCTTGTGCGCATTGCTGCGCTTATAATGTGAAGAAATAGTTTTCCAACATTCTAAGCTAAACGTGCTGATCTGTTGCATCAGCCTCAATGCTTTTTAATGTTTTTTGGATGTAGCCGAGGCCTAATGGTTGTATAGATTTGGGTTTTATCGTCCCACAACTGTCCCAGAGTCTGTCTGGAATAGGCTATTCTTTCTCGACAAGCTGACCAATAACATAGGTAAACTTTTCTACTATGGGGGATAGTAGATTGACATTGGCTAATAACTTTTCTACTATGGGGGATACTACATAGGCTAATAACTTTTCTACTATGGGGGATACTACATAGGCTAATAACTTTTCTACTATGGGGGATACTACATAGGCTAATAACTTTTCTACTATGGGGGATACTACATAGGCTAATAACTTTTCTACTATGGGGGATAGTAGATTGACATAGGCTAATA